TAAACCACTTGAGTAATAGTAGCAAATCAATACTGAGCTTTGCTCCTTCACACCGTAGATCATCCCAATTCCTGCACCTTTACAACCCAGATCATCCCAATTCCTGCTCCTTCACAGCCCAGATCATCCCAATTCCTGCTCCTTCACACCTCAGATCACCCCAATTCCTGCACCATCACAGCCCTGGTCACTCCAATTCCTGCTCCTTCACAGCCCCGATCAATCCAACTACTGCTCCTTCACACCTCAGATCACCCCAGTTCTTCCTCCTTCACACCTCAAGTCAGAGTCAATTTCTGCACCTTGGAACAAACCCCAATTCCTGCACCTTCAGACCTTGGATCAACCCCAATTCTCGCACCTTCAGACCTTGGGTAAATCCCAATTTCTGCACGTTCAGACCTCAGATCACCCCAATTCCTGCAGTTTCAGACCTCAGATCACCCCAATTACTGCACCTTCAGACCTCAGATCACCCCAATTCCTGCTCCTTCAGACCTCAGATCACCTCAATTCCTGCTCCTTCAGACCCCAGATCACCCCAATTCCTGCTCCTTCAGACCCCAGATCACCCCAATTCCTGCACCTTCAGACCCCAGATCACCCCAATTCCTGCACCTTCAGACCCCAGATCACCCCAATTCCTGCACCTTCAGACCTCAGATCACCCCAATTCCTGCACCTTCAGACCTCGGATCACCCCAATTCCTTCACCGTCAGACCTCAAATCAACCTCAATTCCTGTACCTTCAGGCCTCAGATCACCCTAACACCTGCACCTTCAGGCCTCGGATCAACCCCAATTCCTGCACCTTCACACCTCAAATAAACCCCAATTCCTGCACCTTCATACCATGGATCACCGCTCAATTCATCCACCTTCAGACTTCAGATCACCCCAATTCCTGCACCTTCAGACCTTGGATCAACCCCAATTCCTGCACCTTCACACCACGGATCACCGCTCAATTCATCCACCTTCAGACTTCAGATCACCTCAATTCCTCACCTTCAGACCTTGGATCAACCCCAATTCCTGCACCTTCACACCATGGATCACCCCTCAGTTCCTCCACCTTCAGACCTTGGATCACCCCTCAGTTCCTCCACCTTCAGACCTCGGATCAACCCCAATTCCTGCACCTTCACACCTCAAATCAGAGTCAATTTTTTCACCTTGAGATCTCAAATAAGCCCAATTCAGATATAAAGGAGTACTCACAAAGCCAGTGTGAGTAATGCTTTATAGCTAGTTCTGTGAGAACTGCAAAGCCAGTTATAAAGGGTTATTCAGAAAGCCAGCTATTAAGCAAAACTCCTTCATAACTGGCCTTGTGAGTACTGCTTAGTAACTGGCCTTGTGAGTACTGCTTAGTAACTGGCCTTGTGAGTACTGCTTAGTAACTGGCCTTGTGAGTACTGCTTAGTAACTGGCTTTGTGTGTAGTGCTTAGTAACTGGCCTTGTGAGTACTGCTTAGTAACTGGCCTTGTGAGTACTGCATAGTAACTGGCTTTGTGAGTACTGCATAGTAACTGGCTTTGTGAGTACTGCATAGTAACTGGCTTTGTGAGTACTGCATAGTAACTGGCTTTGTGAGTACTGCTTTGTAACTGGCTATGTGAGTACTGCTTAGTAACTGGCTATGTGAGTACTGCTTAGTAACTGGCTTTGTGTGTACTGCTTTGTAACTGGCTTTGTGTGTACCGCTTAGTAACTGGCTTTGTGTGTACCGCTTAGTAACTGGCTTTGTGTGTACCGCTTAGTAACTGGCTTTGTGTGTACCGCTTAGTAACTGGCTTTGTGTGTACCGCTTAGTAACTGGCTTTGTGTGTACCGCTTAGTAACTGGCTTTGTGTTTACCGCTTAGTAACTGGCTTTGTGAGTACTGCATAGTAACTGGCTTTGTGAGTACTGCTTAGTAACTGGCTTTGTGTGTACTGCATAGTAACTGGCTTTGTGAGTACTGCATAGTAACTGGCTTTGTGTGTACTGCTTAGTAACTGGCTTTGTGTGTACTGCTTAGTAACTGGCTTTGTGTGTACTGCTTAGTAACTGGCTTTGTGTGTACTGCTTAGTAACTGGCTTTGTGAGTACTGCATAGTAACTGGCTTTGTGTGTACTGCTTAGTAACTGGCTTTGTGTGTACTGCTTAGTAACTGGCCTTGCGAGTACTGCATAGTAACTGGCTTTGTGTGTACTGCATAGTAACTGGCTTTGTGAGTACTGCTTTGTAAGTTAGCCAGTTATTAGATGACAGTTATTCAGTAAAAGTGCTTTATAACTGGTTCTGTGAGGTTCCTTTAAAACTGACTTTATGAGTAATGTATAGAAAGTTAGCCAGTTATACAAAGACAGTTATTCAGCATTACTCACAAAGCCAGTTTTAAAGGAACCTCACAGAAGCAGTTATAAAGCACTTTTACTGAATAACTGTCTTTGCATAACTAGCTCACTTACTATGCATTACTCACAAAGCCAGCTATTAAACAAAACTCCTTTATATCTGGCTTTGTCAGTAATGCTTTATAACTGGCTGAGAGAAATGCTTTATATCTGGCTTTGTCAGTACTGCAAATCCAGTTATAAAGCATTACTCAAAGAGCCAGTTATAAAGGAGTATTTTTTTATAATTGGATTTTTGAGGACTGATTTTAGTAGTGCATACAAAGCCTGATAAACACGTCTTTACCAAATACATCCACAGCCACGTTTTCTGGGTTGAACTGTGACAGCGTCCCCTTCAGCTTGAGCCAGGCAAAAAGAGGGACAGGAGTGCCCACTGATTGGAAAAGCCTGGCCATGAGCTGGGTCTGCTGTAGTCACAGAAGGGACAATAAAATCAGCCAATATTAACCAGTTCCCGACCGAGCTATAACCAAAAGACTGCTACAGTGTGGTCAGCTAGTTCTGAGAGGGCGTCCAGTGTCCTGGTGATCAGTGTAGCCTCATCAGTGCAGCCAATAGTAATAGTACCCATCAGTGCACATCTGTGCTGGAAATCAATGTCCATCAGTTGAATCAGTGTCACCTAGCAGTGCCGCCCATTAGTACTGGCCATCAGTGCCGCCTAACAATGTCCATCAGTGCCGACTGACAATGTCCATCAGTGCTGCTTAACAGTGCCCATCAGTGCTGCCTAATAGTGTCCATCAGTGCCATCTATCAGCACCCATCAGTGCTGTCTAACAGTGCCTATCAGTGCTGACCATCAGTGCCACCCAACAGTACCCATCATTGCTGACCATCAGTGCCACCCAACAGTACCCATCAGTGCTGCCCATCAGTGCTACCCATCAGTGCTGCCTAACAGTGCCCATCAGTGCTACCCATCAGTGCTGCCTAACAGTGCCCATCAGTGCTACCCATCAGTACTGCCTAACAGTGCCCATCAGTGCTATCCATCAGTGACTCCTCATCAGTGCTATCCATCAGTGACTCCTCATCAGTGCTATCCATCAGTGACTCCTCATCAGTGCTATCCATCAGTGACTCCTCATCAGTGCTATCCATCAGTGACTCCTCATCAGTGCTATCCATCAGTGACTCCTCATCAGTGCTATCCATCAGTGACTCCTCATCAGTGCTATCCATCAGTGACTCCTCATCAGTGCTATCCATCAGTGACTCCTCATCAGTGCCCATCAGTGACTCCTCATCAGTGCCCATCAGTGAAGGAGAAAAATTACTTATTTACAAAACTTTATAACAGAAACTAGAAAAAAAAAAAATTATTTTCAAAATGTATGGTCTTTGTAGTTTGTATAGAAAAAAAAAAAAAAAAAAAAGCAAAAAACAGTGATGATTAAATACCACCAAAAGAAAGCTCTATATATCTAAAACAAATGATACAAATGTAGTTTGGGTGCAGTGTTGCATGACCGCACAATTGTCATTCAAAGTATGAGACCGCTGAGAGCTGAAAATTGGTCTGGGCAGGAAGGGGGTAAAAGTGCCCGGTATGGAAGGGGTTAACAAAATTAGCACTCTCTGGTCCTGGGGCATCCGATCCAACCTCACCACTGCACAGATTAACCCCTTGATGCTGATCTCACGCAAATATGTGGCCTCTCGGCATCTGGGCTTTGACGCCGAGCGGCCGCATATTTGCATGCAATTAGAAAATACATATGTACTGAGAGCGTGCGCCCTGCGTGCTCCCAACACATGTCCGCGACTCCCGGAAAGGCCCAGATTTCCCTTTCGATTGGGACCTTTTCCGATCATGTGACCGGGGAATCACGGCGGTCACACGACCCTAAAACCTCACCCTGCCTCCCGGCTTCTGAAACTCTTAAAGGGCCGGGAGGTTCCGATGCCAAGGGGTTAAGAAGATTAGCTCAGCTGACACAACGTCGTCTGGCAGGAAAGAAAACAACAGTCCAGGATCTGCTTTTGTACATAGAAAGGAAGTGTCTTCCTTTCATTGACTCAAGCCAACTGGGCTTCCTGTAATCCCGATTTCTCTGTACAAGTTGATTTCCCCGAAATAAAACAACAAATCCAAGCCCATGGATCGGTCACTGTCTTAGAATGCAAGTCTGTGTGGGAAATACCTGTTTCCTGGCTGTGCAGAGAGAATTTTCGAGGAACCCACCACACAGCGGTCCTCACGAGGGTGGTGCTACATACAGTATGGTAGATTGGGGGTGTGCTATTAAACCGCCTTCCGCCCGCCATATAAGGAGATGATGGGAGCAAGGCGGTTCTCTCGTTCTGGAATGATGTCATATGATGTCCTTCCACTCTAACCCGCGCGTGCGTGGCTCAGGGAGTGTGCAGCGCGGCGATTGGTGGTGCACTGTGTCCCTCAGACACAGCAGATCACCGATCAACAGAAAGAGCAGAAGATATCGGCTCGGTCATGTGATCAGCTGTGTCCAATCACAGCTGATCGTGTGTGTAAATAAGGAAATGCTGGTTATATGTATTTCTCTCCTCACGAGTTGTCACGCTGACAGAGGAGAGGAGAGCCGGTAATCGGCATTACTCAGAGGGCACATGTACACTGATCATCAGGGCACTGATAATCAGTGTAGCCCCATCAGTGCCACCTGCCTGTGCCCATCAGTGCACATCAATGTCACATATTAGTGCCTACCAGTGCATATCAGTGCCCATCTGAGCTGCCTTTCAGTGCCACCTATCAATGCCAGTCAGTGCCGCCTATCAATGCCAATCAATGCTGCCTATCAGTGCCCGTCAGTGCTGCCTATTAGTGCCGCCTAACAGTGCCAGTCAGTGCCACCTATCAGTGCCATATATGAGTGATGCCTTTCAGTGACCATCAATGATGCCTGTTAATGCCCATCAGTGCCACCTACCAGTGCCGCCTATCAGTGCCCATCACTGCAGCCTCATTAGCGTACATCAGTGAGTCATCAATTAGTTATTTACAAATTTTTTTAACAGAAACTAAGAAAAAACTGCTTTTTTTTAAAATTTTCAGTTGTTTTTGGTTTATTTAGCAAAAAATTAAAAAACCCCGAGGTGATTAACCACATGCCGCCCAGCCACTTTATAAATATGGCAGCAGGGCGGCACGGGCAGGCAAAACCACGTTTTATAACGTGTGTTTTGTAAACAGGTAGGGGGCGCACGCGAGGCGCGACGCCACCCTACCTGTCCCGCCGATCCCAGCCGCAGATGTCAGTCGCCGGGTCACAGCCAGTCCTTACCGGCTATCTCCCGGCGATCGGCGGCGATCAGTGACAGAGAGCACAGCTGCAGTAGCTCTGCTCTCTGTCAGTTCCCTGAGAGCTCCAGGACACGCTGATCGGGACAGAAGAGTTTCTCCCTCCCGATCAGCCTGTCCCCATCCAGCACACCCCCCGCCCCCTAGTAAAAACACTCCCCTCACACAGTTAACCCTTTCCCTGAAAAATAAAGTTAACCCCTTCCCCCCCAGTGCCATTAGTACAGTGTCAGTGTTTTTTTTTTTTTTTGCACCGATCACTGTATTGGTGTCACTGGGGATGTCAGTGACCCCAAGTCAGCCCCCCCCCCCGGTGTCAGAATGTCCGCCGTAGTCCCGCCATAAGTCGCTGATCGCCGCCATAAGTTACTGATCGCTGCCATAAGTCGCTGGTCGCCACCATAATTCGCTGATCGGCGCCATTATTAGTATAAAAAAAAACTAAAAATCCCAGTATCTTTCCCGCCATTTGTAAATGCTATAACTTTCACATAAACCAATTAATTTACACGTATTGGGTTTTTTTTTTAGCAAAGACATGTCGCAGAATGCATTTTGGCAGAAATTTATGACTAAATTTGATTTTTAATTTTTTTTTTTTACTGGACATGTTTTATAGCAAAAAGTCCAAAATATTGGTTTTTTTCCTCAAAATTGTCAGCCTTTTTTTTATAGCGCAAAAAATAAAAACCGCACAGGCGATCAAATACCACCGAAAGAAAGCTCAATTTGTGGGAAAAAAAAAGGACGTAAATTTCATTTATGTACCATATTGCATGACCGCGCAATTGTCCGTTAAACTAGCGCAGCGCTGTATAGCAGAAAAATGGCGTAAATTGCAGTATTTATACCATAGTTTGTAGACGCTATAACTTTCACACAAAGCAATCAATATACACTCATTGGGATTTTTGTTACCAAAAACATGGAGCAGAATACATTTTGGCCTAAATTTATAACTTTGAGTTTACTATATATTTTTTATAGCTGAAAGTAAAAAATATTGTTTTTCTTCAAAATTTTTGGCCTTTTTTTGTTTATAGCGTGAAAAATAAAAAGCGCACAGGTGATCAAATACCACCGAAAGAAAGCTCCATTTGTGTGAAAAAAGGACGTAAATTTCGTTTGGGTGCAGCATTGCATGACCGCACAATTATCAGTTGAATTAACGCGCAGCGCCGAGTAGCAAAAAGAGGCGTGGTCATTAAGGGGGGTAAATCCTCTGGAGGTCAAGTGGGTAAATACCACCAAAAACCTCTGTCTCAAAAAAATGATAAAATTTCATATGGGTCAGTGTTGCATGACTGCACAGTTGTCATTCAAAGTGGGTGAATCCCTGAGCAGGGGATTCAGTGTCTGCAACATAAATGTGTGAAACAGTCCTGGGTGGCAGGCTAATCCAGTTTCCCACTAGAGTGCCTCCTTCCCCTATCTGGCCCGGGGGGTGCAGTTCTATTCACTCTTGTGCTGCTGGGTGGGTCAGTGGCTGGTACCAGGTCATTTTAGCTCCTTCCCTGCCTCACAGGTGATCCTCTCTCTCGGGGGGCTGGTGAAGCCCTGAGCTTTCCTCCTTCCAAGCTCTACTGCCTGTAGGTGAGCCCCTCTCTGTCTGGGTCCCCTCCCAGGCTCCTTCCTCCAGCCCCATATTCTCCTCAACTCTTCTCCAACAACTCTGTCACGTACCTGCTTGGGGAGCATGACGTGGAGAGGGGGCGTCCTCTTACAACTCCCGCTCGGAGCCCCTGATAGTGGGAACAGGGGTGCAGAGCCAGGAGTGGCAGAAGTGCCGTGTAGATCTGAAGCTGACGGCAGGTAGCTGGGGACCCAGGAGATCCGGACATGAGACAGGTGCAGGTGCAGGAACGTAGGTGCAGCAGCAAGCAGGTGTGGCGGCAGTCAGGAAGCAGATTGGGACCGGACACCGGAGCATAGATGCAGTAGCAGACAGGTATGGCGGTGATCCGGATGCAGGCCAGATGCAGAACCGTGGGTACAGCGGCAGGTGAGTATTATAGCTGACAAGATGCAGGCCAGATGCAGGCAGGATAATGTAGCCGAGTCAGACAAGCCGGGTCAGTATCATCGGGCAGATAAAGTACAGAAGGAGCAGGCAAGCGAATGGTCAGGGATAGCCGGGGTCAGTGCAGGCGGAGTTCTTTCTTAGTCAGGTAATGCAGAATACAGGTATCAGGATGAGGAATATGTGCAGGAATGTAGTAGACCAGAAGGCAATGATTTTACTACTAAGCAGGTTTAAATAGCCCGCCTGACGTGACGCGTGCGCTTACTGCGCATGCGCGAGTTTTCCCGCCCTAGTGCACATGTGTGACCAAACGTTCCCGCACCTGCGCACTCACACCGCCGTGACTCGAGGGGATCCGTTGCACGGCGACAGGATCTCTGACAAATTCTCTCCTACTGAGCAGGCTTGGTTGCTTTTAAAGGCTGTCCTGGCCCCTTGCCAAGTCTCCTGTTGGGGATTGGCCAGGATCCTCTAAGAGCACAGACCAGTCACTCCTCAGATTCATCCACTGCTTCTAAATCTTTCTCCAAAGTTCTAGAGCAGGGAGAAATTCCAGAGGGCTGGTCTGCAGAGCCTCCCACAATGTGACCCCCTGCTGGCTATCACACCCAGGCTGCTACTTAGCCCTAACTAACAATTGGAGTCTAGCTCCCCCTAGCTGACTAGGAGGATGCTACACTATGGATATTTTTACACCGCTTTCACTGCCCTTCTCACCAACATCATTGGACTTTGGCAAATAAACCCCATTTTTGCTTATCTTTACCATGCCATGTACACTAGCCCATCCAGCTGCCATTGCATTTGGGGGGGCTCAACCACCTACACCCCAGCTGCAAGTGTAAGCTAGGTTTGAGAGCCTCAACAAACTGTGTGCTTTTATCCTGCAAACATTTATCAGTTTTTGTGATGCAGAATGTGAGAACTACTAATCCCATCACGCCCTATGTAATGGAGATGAACAGTGGCAGACTTTTTTTTAATATCCAACCTGGCTGGCATCTATGGCAGAATTCTGGCCATTTAACCTCTTGGCGCTGGCCAAGCGTCTGGGCCTAGATGCCGAGCGGCCGCACATTTGCATTCTATTAAAAAAAAAACACATGTGCTGAGAGCGCAAGCCCTGCGCGCTCCCAGCACACTCATTCAGTACTCACTTTTGATGGGGGCCTCTCTCAATTATGTGACCACCGTGACAGAGAATCACGGCAGTCACATGACCCTAAAACCCTGCCCCACCTCCCGGCTTCTGGAACCCTTAATGGGCCGAGAGGGCCGCGCGCCAAGGGGTAAATAGATTAACACTCAAGTGCTTGATACGTCTAGCATTTAGATGCCCTTACATGAGGTTGCTCTTGGATGCACTCAGGGGCATATTTACCACAAGGCAAACAAGGCATTTGCCTATAGCGGCATTTTTTAGGGGGGTAGCATTGCCCCCTGGAAGCAGGGACATATGTGCAATGGGGACCAGGTGGGATCTGAGAGAGGCTGTGGGCTGCTTGAGCCCAACTGTCGTTCCTGGGGATGGCAAGAGCTGTGAAGGTGTGTGTCTTTTTCTCTGGGGGGGGGGGGGTGTTATTGGTCACTATCAAGCTCTCTCTGCAGGGGAGGTCTGGTGTTGGTCGGTGTCAGGCTCTCTCCGCAGGGGCGATCTGGTATTGATCGGTGTCAGGCTTTCTCCGCAGAGGCGGTCTGGTGTTGGTCGGTGTCAGGCTCTCTCCGCAGGGGCGGTCTGGTGTTGGTCGATGTCAGGCTCTCTCCGCAGGGGCGGTCTGGTGTTGGTCGGTGCAGGCTCTCTCCGCAGGGGCAGTCTGTTGTTGGTCGATGTCAGGCTCTCTCCGCAGGGGCGGTCTGGTGTAGGTCGGTGTCAGGCTCTCTCCGCAGGGGCGGTCTGGTGTTGGTCGGTGTCAGGCTCTCTCCGCAGGGGCGGTCTGGTGTTGGTCGATGTCAGGATCTCTCCGCAGGGGCGGTCTGGTGTTGGTCGGTGTCAGGCTCTCTCCGCAGGGGCGGTCTGTTGTTGGTCGATGTCAGGCTCTCTCCGCAGGGGCGGTCTGGTGTTGGTCAGTGTCAGGCTCTCTCCGCAAGGGTGGTCTGGTGTTGGTCGATGTCAGGATCTCTCCGCAGGGGCGGTCTGGTGTTGGTCGGTGTCAGGCTCTCTCCGCAGGGGCAGTCTGGTGTTGGTCGATGTCAAGATCTCTCTGTAGGGGGCGGTCTGGTGTTGGTCGGTGTCAGGCTTTCCCCGCAGGGGTGGTCTGTTGTTGGTCGATGTCAGGCTCTCTCCGCAAGGGTGGTCTGGTGTTGGTCGGTGTCAGGCTCTCCCCGCAGGGGCGGTCTGGTGTTGGTCGGTGTCAGGCTCTCCCCGCAGGGGCGGTCTGGTGTTGGTCGGTGTCAGGCTCTCTCCGTAAGGGTGGTCTGGTGTTGGTCAGTGTCAGGCTCTCTCCGCAGGGGCGGTCTGTTGTTGGTCGATGTCAGGATCTCTCCGCAGGGGCGGTCTGTTGTTGGTCGATGTCAGGATCTCTCCGCAGGGGCGGTCTGGTGTTGGTCGATGTCAGGCTCTCTCCGCAAGGGCGGTCTGGTGTTGGTCGGTGTCAGGCTCTCTCCGCAGGGGCGGTCTGGTGTTGGTCGCTGTCAGGCTCTCTCTGCCGGGGAGGCGAGGGAGGGCATCCAATTTTTGTGTTGCCCAGGGCAGCACAAAACCTAAATACACCACTGGATGCACTGGCAATGGTATTTTTTCTACTTCTAACCTCTTATGTGTGCTTAGGAGGGGCTAACTTGGAGGGGCATTTAGGGACAGAAAAAAAAAACACCAGATGCCCCTAAAAGCAGCGTTAAAATGCCCTTTTTTGCGGGAGCCCTTAGTTACAAACTCTTTCGTACATCAGTTTTGATCCTGTTAGGATTACTCATCAGGAAGAGCAAAAATGAAACATACTGCAGATACAGTATATCTTATAAAGCATATATTTTGGGCCCCATTCACATCCATGCATTCGAGGAATGCTCGCAGAAACGCACGTTTCTGAAAAAGAGCCAAAACACGCATCACGCTTGCGGTGCCATTATTTCGTAACGACTCCCCGAAATGTGGCTAGCAGACGAAAAAAGGTGCAGCAGCTACTTTGGCATGTATGTGGAGCGTAGGGCAACCCATTTAAGTGAACGGGCTTCCCTATGCTGTCATGGGACAAAGACACGAAAAAAGCATGACAAAAAAGCGCACAAACGCATCACACAAGTGTAAATGGGGCCTCAGACCGGAAACAAACACCTGAATCCTCTTCCACAGGTCATTGTCCAGTCTACCATAATTATTATTATTATACAGGATTTATGGCGCCAACAGTTTGCTCAGCACTTTACAATATAACGGCAGACAATACAGCAACAATACAGTTCAATACAAGAGGGATAGGAGGGCCCTGATCCTCAGAGCTTACAATCTAAGAGGGAGGGGCTGTTAGTATAAAAGGTAATAACTGTGGGGGATGGACTGGTAGGAGAAATAGAAGATTCCATTATTAGCTGAGGGCAGCATAGGCTTCCCTGAAGAGAGAGGTTTTCAGAGATCGCCTAAAAGTGAGCAGAGTAGGCGATAGTCTGATAGATTGGGGTAGAGAGTTCCAGAGGATGGGGGAAGCTCTGGAGAAGTCCTGGAGATGAGCATGGGAGGAGGAGACAAGGGAGCTAGAGAGCAGGAGGTTGTGCGAGGAGTGGGTTTGGGTGATATTTGGAGACAAGATTGGCGATGTAATTTTGGGCAGAGTTATAAATGTTATAAAAATATATGTGATTGTTAATGCTTTGAATTTTATCAGTTGGCAATGGAAAGCCAGTGGAGGGATTGGCAGAAAGGGGTGGAAAACATGGAGTGGAGGCCAGTGGAGGGATTGGCAGAGAGGGGTGGAAAACATGGAGTGGAGGCCAGTGGAGGGATTGGCAGAGAGGGGTGGAGGACACTGAATGGAGGTCAGTGGAGGGATTGGCAGAGAGGGATGGAGGACACTGAGTGGAGGCCAGTGGAGGGATTGGCAGAGAAGGATGGAGGACACTGAGTGGAGGCCAGTGGAGGGATTGGCAGAGAGGGGTGGTGGACACTGAGTGGAGGCCAGTGGAGGGATTGGCAGAGAAGGATGGAGGACACTGAGTGGAGGCCAGTGGAGGGATTGGCAGAGAGGGGTGGAGGACACTGAGTGGAGGCCAGTGGAGGGATTGGCAGAGAGGGATGGAGGACAGAGTGGAGGTCAGTGGAGGGATTAGCAGAGAGGGGTGGAGGACACTGAGTGGAGGCCAGTGGAGGGATTGGCAGAGAAGGATGGAGGACACTGAGTGGAGGCCAGTGGAGGGATTGGCAGAGAGGGGTGGAGGACACTGAGTGGAGGCCAGTGGAGGGATTGGCAGAGAGGGATGGAGGACAGAGTGGAGGTCAGTGGAGGGATTGGCAGAGAGGGATGGAGGACACTGAGTGGAGGCCAGTGGAGGGATTGGCAGAGAGGGGTGGTGGACACTGAGTGGAGGCCAGTGGAGGGATTGGCAGAGAAGGATGGAGGACACTGAGTGGAGGCCAGTGGAGGGATTGGCAGAGAGGGGTGGAGGACACTGAGTGGAGGCCAGTGGAGGGATTGGCAGAGAGGGATGGAGGACAGAGTGGAGGTCAGTGGAGGGATTAGCAGAGAGGGGTGGAGGACACTGAGTGGAGGTCAGTGGAGGGATTGGCAGAAAGGGATGGAGGACACTGAGTGGAGGCCAGTGGAGGGATTGGCAGAGAGGGGTGGAGGACACTGAGTGGAGGCCAGTGGAGGGATTGGCAGAGAGAGATGGAGGACACTGAGTGGAGGTCAGTGGAGGGATCGTCAGAGAGGGGTGGAGGACACTGAGTGGAGGCCAGTGGAGGGATTGGCAGAGAGGGGTGGAGGACACTGAGTGGAGGCCAGTGGAGGGATTGGCAGAGAGAGATGGAGGACACTGAGTGGAGGTCAGTGGAAGGATTGGCAGAGATGGGTGGCAGATACAGAACGGTTAGTAAGGTGGATGAGTCTGGCAGCAGCATTCATGATAGACTGAAGAGGGGATAGCCTGCGATGAGGTCGGCCAATGAGGAGGGAGTTACAATAGTCAAAGCGAGAGATAATGAGCTAGCTATATAGATAAATAGCTATATTACTGGCCATTCCACACTTTACCTGTGATGACAGAAAAAAAGAAAAAAAAGAAAGAAAAGGAAAACAAACCATTAATGAAAAAAAAAAATAAAACTACAAAAAACCTCTGAAAACTATAAAAATCAAAATCTTTACTCCGCCCCCTGGGTGATACAGTGTCCAGTTGGGAAATCCTCTTGACTTCTCTCTATGAAACTTCAGCTCCCTATGACCTATGACAGGGAATGTGGTTTGTGGTCACCAATCATAACTGATCTGCGGAGTGACCACATTTACATGGAGGATGATTAATATCAATGGGTTTTACACTTGCCTTTAGCAAGTAAACATGTGGATTATATTACAAGGAAGGAAACAACCCAGAAGGTCAAAAATAGAATGTTACAGCTTATGTTCTTGAAGGAAGTATTGCTATTAGATGGTAAACAGTGTAGACAGTGTGGTCACACCGCAGATCAGTTACTGAACCCCCAACAGTACAATCAGTCTGTAGATGCAGGAAAGCATGCTTGTTATACTCGCTGTGGAACCTAAGGGGTTAATCCTTTGCATTGTGTAAAAAGGATGTTTGATTCTGTCTTCTCTGATCCTCCTCTTCTTCCACTGTCCCCAATCCATCTCCTGATAGGAAAAACGCCTTGGAGGCACTCTGCACATGCTCAGTTTGGTGTGTATTGTTAGAGAGATTTGTTTGTTTTTTTGGGAGGGTGCATGTGATCAGCACAGGACCAATCAGTGCTGTCCAGACAGAGGGTCAGGGGTCTTGCAGCCTCATAGGACAATCAGGGGAGAATGAAAACTCCTCCTAAAAGCTTTAACCATATTTAGTAAAATAATTGCATTTCCATGTTCTGTGTACTGTGGGAGACCAGATATAGTGAACGCAGGGTCCGGGGAGAGCGGATATAGTGAATGCGGGGTCCGGGGAGAGCGGATATAGTGAATGCAGGGTTCGGGGAGAGCGGATATAGTGAATGCAGGGTCCGGGGGAGAGCGGATATAGTGAATGCAGGGTTCTGGGAGACCAGATATAGTGAATGCAGGGTCCGGGGAGAGCGGATATAGTGAATGCAGGGTCCGGGGAGACCAGATATAGTGAATGCAGGGTCCGAGGAGAGCGGATATAGTGAATGCAGGGTCCGAGGAGAGCGGATATAGTGAATTCAGGGTCCGAGGAGAGCGGATATAGTGAATTCAGGGTCCGAGGAGAGCGGATATAGTGAATGCAGGGCCCTGGGAGACCAGATATAGTGAATGCAGGGTCTGGGGAGACCAGATATAGTGAATGCGGGGTCCGGGGAGACCGGATATAGTGAATGCAGGGTCCGGGGAGACCAGATATATTGAATGCAGGGTCCGGGGAGACCAGATATAGTGAATGCAGGGTCCGGGGAGACCGGATATAGTGAATGCAGGGTCTGGGGAGACCAGATATAGTGAATGCGGGGTCTGGGGAGACCAGATATAGTGAATGAGGCTAGGCTGTCTGTTGCCGAGGTCAAAGTGAGGTGTTGAAAGGGGGTGGCGGCTCTCTTTAAGGGAAAGGGTCGATTTGATTAAGATTTTCCTGGTTCCCATCTTTTTGTATGTCAGCTTTGTCTGTCTTTTGCCAGAATCACTCTATACGAGGATCTACAGCTGCTTCTTCCAGATGTTATGGGGGGAACAGGCTGAACCTTGTCAAGCGGAATGTAACTTACTCATCCAGGCGGGAGGGTGGCCTAGGTATGGTCAACACGATAGTTTTCTTTTCTCTGATGTTCACGAAACATAACTTTGGTAATATGCTGGCAGAGAGACCGCCTGCATGGGTAGGGCTGTTCCAGATCTGGTTCAGACCCTTTCTGAGCTGTTGGGAGAGTGGCGGGCCAGTGAAAAGCCTGCGGGTCAAGCACGGCAAGCTCCCGGCTTATGTGGCCCCGAGCCTGAAGTTACTCTAGCGGTGGCATGTGATGGCGGAGGAGATCAGCTCTCTCCCTAGGAAGCCCCTAGGTGAGAGGATTGTGACAACCGCTTTCCATGCACCGCTAGCCTTATTAGATTGCCCAGGCCATATTATGAGGGAGGGTTTGCGCTTAATGAATCTGGAACGGGTCCCCTTGAAATTTAGGGACCAGGCCTGGCTTGCTTTCCATGTTAGGCTCTACGTGAGGGGTAACTTGAAGTACCGTCCTCGGAGTGTCTGGGTGAAGTAGAGACTATGGACCACTTCTTGCTTCAGTGCCCCTTTAACGTAGAGGTGTATAAAGAGGTGGGTGGGGCTCTGGGTGTTCCTTTCCTGCACCGCATGTCTTATGCGGAGTGGGTGTATGGAGCATTCGAAAGTCGTCTGGATTTTGATTTAGACACTTTGTTCTTAGTCAGTTTTAGTCAGTTTAGTAGTCCGTTACTACACGTGGAATGCACAGTGTCAGGTCTCCATCCGGCAGAAAGTCCTCCCCGTCCAGGTGGTGGTGTGTGACATTCTTGGTGAGGTTGGGAAGATTCGGGGCCTTGAGAAAGACAGGTGGCGGCGAAAGGCTTGGATGGAGGCGTGGAGGAACATCACGCCTGTAGCTGCTGCTTGTTGATCTCGGGTGGTGGTATCTGTCCCTATTTTCCCTTTATCACCCCCCTAGATTTTGGAAGTATGTTTCTTTTTGATGGAAGGCTGCAGGTATTGAAAATCTGTGTTCCTTAATCTTCTTTAGGGTATGTATAGAATGTTTGGTTCAAGCTTAGTTATTGTAAAGTCTTGTAGTGTTTGGCCATAAAGGCCATCTGTGGAGGATGGAAATTGTATATAGTTTGTGTCTTGGCCATAAAAGCCTGTTAAAAGCAAAAGTTATTTTTTTTCCAGGTATGGACTTATCTGTTGCAGGCCATAAAAGCCTGGTGTTCTGTGTTTTTTTCCCAGGTATGGACTTTTGTGTTGAAGGCCATAAAGGCTTCCCGGACTTTTACGTTTCCTGCATGAAGGGTGTGCTTATGTTTACGCTTATTTATTCATATTTATCTTTTGTATTTTTATAGAAAATTAATGCTGGTTGGTTTGTAAGCACAAATTACAAAATAAAATATTACCAGATATAGTGCATGCGGGGTCCGGCGAGACCGGATATAGTGAATGCAGACCTTCAGTCTGTGCCTTGGTGTGTGTTTTTCTATGGGCCCCTGTATCTTGTTACCTGCATTACTGTTCCTGTCCCTGTCTTACTGATTTGTTGCCGACCCTGCCTGATCCGGACCTCTGCTGACTTCTCCTGTTTAATCCCTGGCTTGTGACCCCGACCATTCTCTGCCTGACCCCCTGTACCTACCTGCCCATTAGTTGCTGTACCAGGCTCGTGACCTGACTACTCTCTGCCTGCTCCTCCTGTTCCTACCTGCCCGATTGTTATTGACCCGGCCTGCCTGACGACGCTTGCATTGTATGTATTGTTATCTGTGGGTGGTTGGTTTGGTTCGTTTGCACTGTGTTATGTTTTAGTATTGCACTGCGTTTATGTATTGTTAGTATTAATAAATTATATTGTTTATAGCATATCTGAAGCCTGTGTTTCCATGCGTCAGTCACATACCTCTGGTCATACCCTGGAGCCCTGACACTATTGTTGTGCTAATCTGAAGGACACACCAAGTTTGGAGGTCTTTAGCTATTGACTCTGCAGACAGTTGGCGACTTCTGCGCACTGTGCGCTTCAGCATGCGCTGACCCCGCCCTGTCATGTGACGTGGCCTACCACTTGGTGGCTGAGTTGCTGTTGTTCCCAGTTGCTTCCACTTTGTTATAATCCCACTAACAGTTGAGCGTGGAATATTTAGTAGCCAGGAAATGTCACGGATGGACTTATTGCCCAGGTGACCACCTATCACGGGACCACGCTTGGAGCCACTGAGCTCCTGAGAGCGACCCATTCTTTCACCAATGTTTGTAGAAGCAGTCTGCATGCCTAGGGGCTTGATTGTATACACCTGTGTCCATGGAGGGGATTGGAACACCTTAATCCAATGATTTGAAGGGGTGTCCCAATACTTTTGGCAATATAGTGTATATACAGTATATACTATATATTTTTCTGTATCATCAACTGGGAATACTTCAAATAATACATTTCAATCAGGAGTTATTGGGTTACATTCTATCTACTGATGTTTGATGTGAAATGAGTCCACGGTTCCCAAACTATGGAATGTTTCTCTAGAGCATGTTTTCTCAACCAAGGTTCCTCTAGAGCAGTGATGGCGAACCTTTTTGAGCCCGAGTGCCCAAAACTGCAACACAAACCAACTTTTTTATTTCAAAGTGCCAACACTGCAATTAACCACTTGCCTACCTGGACGCATTGACAGACGGCACTGATCGGTGGCACTGCTGGGCATCATTGATGGGTGGCACTGATGGGCAGCACTGCTGGGCGACACTGCTGGGCACTGACAGGTGGCACTGCTGGGCAGCGCTGACAGGCGACACTGCTGGGCACTGATGGGTGACACTGCTGGGCACTGATGGATGACACTGCTGGGCATCATTGATGGGTGGCACTGATGGGCAGCACTGATGGGTGACACTGCTGGGCACTGACAGGTGGCACTGCTGGGCAGCACTGACAGGCGACACTGCTGGGCACTGATGGGTGACACTGCTGGGCACTGATGGATGGCACTGCTGGGCATCATTGATGGGTGGCACTGATGGGCAGCACTGATGGGCGATACTGCTGGGCACTGACATGTGGCACTGCTGGGCAGCACTGACAGGTGGCACTGCTGGGCAGCACTGACAGGCGACACTGCTGGGCACTGATGGATGGGACTGCTGGGCATCATTGATGAATGGCACTGATGGGCAGCACTGATGGGCGACACTGCTGGGCACTGACAGGCGACACTGCTGGGCACTGGTGGATGACACTGCAAGCAATCTCACCTCTGGCAGCGTCGGTGTGGCTTCCAACCCAGCAGCTCATTCCCATCCACGCTGAACACATTGCCCCTGGCCCCGGAGCAGTGTGGGAGCAGTGTGGGAGCCTCTTCCTCTCTTCCGCGCCCATCCCCGGGTACATCACCCCTGGTGCCAGAGCCGCATTGGAGCCGTTTCCTCTCGTCCACGCCCACCCTGGCCCCAGAGACATGTGGGAAATGTAGTTTGATGGGGATCCAGCGTGGACGAGATCTGGATGGCCGGTCCATGCGCGCTCATCATCCTCTTCTTCCTGGTGTGCCCACTGAGATGGCTCTGCGTGCAAGCTCTGGCACGCGTGCCATAGGTTCGCCATCACTGCTCTAGAGGATCTTTGAGCAGTTAGCAGACTCTGTCTCCCAGATGAGTAACCACTGACACCATTGAACGTTTAGCTATTTGTAGGGGGTGATTCTTTCCACTGGCCACCAATGTAAGGAGCATTCCTCCAACTGACCACTAATGTATGGGGCATTCTTCCCATTGACCACCAATGTAAGGAGCATTCTTCCCAATGCCCACCAATGTAAGGAGCATTCTTCCCATAGCCACCAATGTAAAGGGCATTCTTTTTCACTGACCACCAATGTAAGGAGTATTCTTCCCTCTGACCACTAATGTAAGGAGCATTCCTCCAAATGGCCACCAATATAAGGAGCAGTCATCCCACTGACCACTAATGTAAGGAGCATTCTTCCCACTGACCACTAATGTAAGGGGCATTCTTCCCACTGACCACCAAAGTAAGGAACATTCTTCCCACTGATCACCAATGTAAGGGACATTCTTCCCACTGACCACCAATGTAAGGAACATTCTTCCCACTGACCACCAATGTAAGGAACATTCTTCCCACAGCCACCAATGCAAGGAGCATTCTTCTCACTGACCACCAATGTAAGGAGCATTCCTCCAACTGGCCACCAATATAAGGAGCATTCCTACCACTAATGTAAGGGGCATTCTTCCCACTGACCACCAATATAAGGAGCATTCTTCCCACTGATCACCAATGTAAGGAACATTCTTCCCACTGATCACCAATGTAAGGGACATTTTTCCCACTGATCACCAATGTAAGGGACATTCTTCTCACTGATCACCAATGTAAGGAGCATTCTTCCCACTGATCACCAATGTAAGGAGCATTCTTCCCAATGACCACCAATGTAAGGGACATTCTTCTTACTGATCACAAATGTAAGGAACATTCTTCCCACTGATCACCAATGTAAGGGACATTCTTCCCACTGACCACCAAATGTAAGGGACATTCTTCCCACTGATCACCAATGTAAGGAACATTCTTCCCACTGATCACCAATGTAAGGAGCATTCTTCCCACTGATTATCAATGAAAGGGGCATTCTTCTCACTGATCACCAATGTAAGGGACATTCTTCCCATTGATCACCAATGTAAGGAGCATTCATCCCACTGACCACCAATGTAAGGAGCATTCTTCCCACTGATCACCAATGTAAGGGGCATTCTTCCCACTGATCACCAATGTAAGGAGCATTCTTCCCACTGACCACCAATGTAAGGGACATTCTTCCCACTGATCACCAATGTAAGGAACATTCTTCCCACTGACCACCAATGTAAGGGACATTCTTCCCACTGATCACCAATGTAAGGAACATTCTTCCCACTGACCACCAATGTAAGGAGCATTCTTCCCACCGATCACCAATGTAAGGAGCATTCTTCCCACTGACCACCGATGTAAGGGACATTCTTCCCACTGACCACCAATGTAAGGGACATTCTTCCCACTGATCACCAATGTAAGGAACATTCTTCCCACTGATCACCAATGTAAGGGGCATTCTTCCCACTGACCACCAATGTAAGGAGCATTCTTCCCACTGATCACCAATGTAAGGAGCATTCTTCCCACTGACCCCCAATGTAAGGGACATTCTTCCCACTGACCCCCAATGTAAGGGACATTCTTCCCACTGATCACCAATGTAAGGGACATTCTTCCCACTGATCACCAATGTAAGGGACATTCTTCCCACTGATCACCAATGTAAGGGGCATTCTTCCCACTGACCACCAATGTAAGGAGCATTCTTCCCACTGACCACCAATGTAAGGAGCATTCTTCCCACTGACCACCAATATAGTACTTGTTAGAAGGGGTTCCTGGAGAACCGGAAGTTTGTTTCAAGGGTACCTTTGTGTATATAAAGGTTAAGAAAGACTGCTTTATGGTGCTGCATTTTCTATACAAGAGAAGCTATTTTCACATTCCTTATGCTCTCTTTTCATATACAGGTGATGTTGCCGAAAATGTCTCCATTCCAGCTGGTTCCTCTGTTTATTTGGCAGAAACTAACCTCTGCCAGAGCACGGGCAGAAAATATGAACTTTATAATGGCAAAGATCAAATTGGCTCCGATAATGGTAATATGCCTGGCCGTTTACGGTTCAAGAATCGGGTTGCATTCATCCTCGAAAACTGTACATTCATAGTGCAGGATATGAAAGTGGAAGATACCGGAGAATACAAAATTAGGACACTGACTGTTGAAAATGACAAGCCGAAAAGCCATGAAAAACCGTTCCACATCTATGTCATAGGTACGTCAGGTAAGCCTTTGTATTTATGCCTTTATCACAAAGAGATGCTGTTACTAGACTATTTATTGTAACAACAATCCTCCTATAAGATCATACTGTGTGTGCATTTAATGAATTTTAGGAATGTTATTAACCCCCCTGGCGGTATTCCTGAGTGTAGCTCGGGGTAAAATTTGAGTACCAAAAGTGGTAACCCCCCTGAGCTACACTCAGGCTTACCATGCGGCGTTCTCCGGGGGGTCCCTGCAGCGCTTACCTTGTCCTTTGCTCCCGCGATGTGTCCCCTGCAGCGTCCCCGGCCATCTCCTCCAGCCGATGCCGGCATCCGGCTTCCGTGTTCCGGTCCCTGTGACGTCGGGACGTACGGGCGCCGGAACCAGCGGGAAATTTGAAATTTTTAAAAAAATGTCATTTTTGCTGTCATTGCTGTTTCAATGCATTTCACATACATTTTGTCCCGAGTGCTTTGTCCGGCACCCTGCCTGCATTTTTACTGTTCTTTCTGCCTGGAAACTGAGAAACGTCCATGGCGTCCAAAAAGCGTCCCTTTACGTCAAAAGCGGTTTTAGACCGGCTAGAGAACAGCGATAGTAAATCAGAACCACTTGCAGAATTGAGTGATAATGATTTGTGGGGGAAATTCCTCATCAGACACTGAAAACGATTCTGCGACTTTGCTCAGCGATGTGTGAACTTGGCGCTATATTTCAAATTTCAGTGTTTTTGGTTTGATTATATTATTGAATTAAATTTATTATTATATTATTTTTTATGATTATTTATTAAATTATAATTTATGATTTCGTGTTTCAAGTTTTATCCTCCCCGGGATGTTTACTAGACTCTTGTTCGGACAGATTTCAGTGAGTTATTCCTAAAAATTACAGCCTACAATAAAAAACTACATATTTTTATGCAAAAAAATGGTACCGCTTTCAGCACAAAAAATCGGAAAGAATCATACCGCTAGGGAGGTTAACCTATAACAGCCTTCCATGTGTAGCCATTGAAAAGCCCCTGAGACTTCTGCTGGGTGCCACCATGTTGTATGTGATGTCAGCAACCCCAGCAGACTCATGGCCATCACTCAACTGTCACTCTATAGTATTCCCCTTCACTCCTCCCCATCTGCTACATAAAAGGCTATGTAGGGAGGTGAAGGGAGGAGCTGAGGAGCTGAGCCAGCACAGACAGTAATTAGACACCCTCAGAAGAGGAGAGTCCCAGAGAGGAGGGAAGGGCCTGTGCTGGTGAATTGACTCTTTTTGGAGTCAGTGGCGTCCCGAGGCAGGTGCGGGGGGTGCAGTCCGCACCGGGTGACACCGGACCCGCTCCACAAAAAGGTAAGTTGTAAAGCAACATATATATAGGAAGTGCAGCGCTAAAAAAATATATATACTCCAATAAAATATGTTATATTCAGTATGCTCTCCAAATCATATGGTTAAAAGTAACACAATAAAATGTTAAAAATAATAAATGAATAGTGACAGTTCGTGATGAGTGAACTATTCAGGATTTGCTAGTTACTTTCCGATCCTGTGGTCTGGTGACAAATAGTGAAAATGCGCACTCACCAGATGCGTATTTTCAATACGCATGTGATACACAAACCAGAGGTTCCCTTCATGGGATGCGATAGATGAGCTGGGCCATCTTAGCGGACTCTCCTTCCTCTGGGTGTAGAGCAGCCAAACCGTTGTCTCCCTCTAGGAAATGGACAGGGTACTGGGCAGCCTACATCACGACGTGCGTCATCCTTAGGGTGGTATCATGTGTCACAGACTTCTGATGCTTGGGCTCTGGAACGGATGTAAGGCTCACCAAGGAGACAGCAAGGAATAGCCCATAGTGTAGTAGTTTAAAATTGGCGTTTATTAATTTTATTAATCCGCGTGGTAAAATAACTCAGATATAAATAAATCAAATAAAAACAATTACTGACCAATGTGCAAATAAACGTCACGGCGTGCAGGCCCATTTCAAGGATGATCCCATGAGGGGGACCTCTGGTTTATGTTTTACATACGTATTGAAAATACGCATCTGGTGAGTGCGCATTTTCACTATTTGTCACCAGACCACAGAATCGGAAAGTCACTAGCAACTCCTAAATAGTTCACTCATCACGAACTGTCACTATTTATTTATTATTTTTTAACATTTTATATTGTGTTACTTCTTTTATCCATATGATTTGGAGAGCATACTGAATATAACATATTTTATTGGAGTATATATATTGAAAATACGCATCTGGTGAGTGCGCATTTTCAGTATTTGTCACCAGACCACAGGATCAGAAACTCACTAGCAACTCCTGAATAGTTCACTCATCACAAACTGTCACTATTTATTTATTATTTTTAACATTTTATTGTGTTACTTCTTTTATCCATATGATTTGGAGAGCATACTGAATATAACATATTTTATTGGAGTATATATATTTTTTAGCGCTGCATATATATATTTATGAGGTTTATTTTTTGGTTGCCTTGCGTGCTATAGCTGCTATTATTTGAAGCGCTCACTGATTGCATTTATTTTTATTATAAGTTTTAAATCAAGCCGACGATCCCCACAGGATGGATCGGATCCATCCTGCGGGGATCGTCGGCTTTCTTTACAACTTTTCTTGGAGTGGGTCCGATGTCACCCCGTATAGGTTGCATGTGGACGATCCTGCGGGGGTGACACACCGGTGTATCGGCAAGATGTGTCTCCCATGTAGATATGTCCCCCTTAAGCAACTGCGCATGTCCTGGTTTCAGGCACAATCAATCGATGATAGAGCTACTGCTATCATCGATTGATTGTGCCTGAAACCGGGACATGCGCAGTTGTCCCGGACCCGCTCCACGAAAAGGTAGGTTGTAAAGAAAGCCGACGATCCCCGCAGGATGGATCGGATCTGCGGATTGGGAAGCATAATGAATTGGAGTCCGATCCATTATGCTCAATCCACAGATCCGATCCATCCTGCTGGGATCGTCGGAGGGGGTGTCACCAAGTGTTACCGCACCGGGTGACACCAACCCTAGGGATGCCTCTGCTTGGAGTAGTCACTTTTTTTTTTTTTCTAGCAAGTTGAAGGGCTCATTGCAAGTCAATGAAAAAGTGTTTATGAAACTAAAAAAACTGCAAGTAAGCATTTAATATATTGATTCTTCTATACTTTTCACTGCAATTTTTTAGGTTGGTGATCAAATCTATTAAAAACTGAACCCCATGCGGTTATGAATGCACCTTGTGTGGGAGGGGCATTACTAGGAGCCAATCAGGGCTCTGCTGCATACACGTTGCGACAGGAAACACACCGACAGGAGGAAAGAGTAGAACTTCTCAGATTGTTGCTATTCAATCAGCAGTCCTTGGTTGGGGAGTAGTGATGGTCTGAACACCCCCCTGGCCAGCTCACGGTAGAACATTCGAACCTAAACACAGTTCCACCACCAACATTGAAAATAATGCAAGTTTATGGCAGGGGCGGACTGACAACTCATGGGGCAATAGAGGATCATGGGGCCCCTGTGTCCTTGCCCAAACTCAAAAAAGACTATGAAAAAGGGACCAGGGGCATCTCATGGGGCCCCCTACTGACCCCAGGCCCTTGGACAGTGCCCAAGTTTCCAAATGGTCAGTCTGCCCCTGGTCTATGGGACCTGAGCTTGTAAATTCAAAATTGCCTATTTTGAAACATATGCAAAGTATTGGCCATAAAAGGGGTATGGGGACTCGGGTACTGCCCTGAGGGACATGAATCGGGGAAAACATTTTTTTTTTTTAAAAGTATCGTTTTTAACCCCTTCACGCCTAAGGGTAAAAATCTTAATGCCTAAGCACAATTTTGCAGCGTTGACATGTGTTAGTAAAACCGTACATATCATCACAACCAGGGGCGGACTGACCATTTGAAAACTCGGGCACTGCCCAAGGGCCCAGGGTCAGTATGGGGCCCCATGAGATGCCCCTGGTACCTTTTTCATAGGCTTTTTTGAGTTTGGGCAAGGACACAGGGGCCCCATGATCCCCTATTGCCCAGGGGCCCCATGAGTTGTCAGTCCGCCCCGATCACAACTACTGTGTACATCCAGTTGAATTAAACCGCATTTTTTTTTTTTCCGGACAAAGTGGGCTTTCATTTGGTGGTAAATGGTAATGGATATCTCTGTTTTTTTTTAGTATCAAAAGAAAAATGGCCCAAAATAGTAAAAAAAAAAAAATCAATTTTGTGTGTTTCTTGTTACTACCATAACCTACCACCAAAATAAATTCTCCAGCTCTTGACAATCGCAGCAATACCATACATGTGGGTGTTATTTGTTGTTTGTAGAAACAACAGTGTGCATTTTTTTTCTTGGATTTTTTTTTTTAACTAAAGCACACTGACACTAACTGACACTGATACCAGTTAAAAAAAAAAATCCTGACCTTTGATCCTGACCTTGACCCAAAAGCTT